TGGATGTTTGCATTACTACCACTGCCAAAACCGACAAAGAAGGACAGCGGCTGCTGGCTCTTTTGGGGATGCCTTTCAAGGAGGGTGGTGGTGGTGACCAAGCAGCCCCTCTGGTCGGAAAGAAGAAGCTCAGATCTCACCACTTTGACTCTAAAGCAAAGCAGAGGGCAAGGAAATGAGTGTACTTGTAACATAACTGTATATTGCACGTACTGCCCTTGTCTTGTTCAACTCTTTGGGTAGAAATGTTGAGATTCCAATCTAAAACAAATTGGCAATAGGAGGAATAACTCATATTCGAATATATTTATCTTTGGGAGGAATAACTCATTCTTATATATTTATCTTTTTCAGCAAGTTCGTTGTGAGGGCTTGAGACTCAAACCTTCGGGCAAAACTCGTTCGGGGGCCGAAAAGTTTCCACATTTGCCCCGTTCACGTGGATTGTGGGGGTCGAGGTTCCTACACTCAAGAGAGAGGACCCTAGTCCAATGCTTATGGAGGACACCCCACAATGCCATTTTATAGCCATCACTTGGCTATCACCTACATAAATCATCAAACCTTATAAAAAATTTAATAACAAGGTACTGAGCTAGGGTAAGTTGGGATAGTACGGAGTACATAATCAACATTAGAATTTTGAATAAACTTTTCTTAGTACATATTCACTTTCAATACATTAAAAATTAGATGAACATTTAAGCACATCTCCAATAAGATCTCTCTTGAGCCTTGATGGAAAATCTTAAAACTACCTTCTCTAAACTTTACCATCGAGGTAGACAAAAAGAGAAAAATTTAGATCCGAACTCAATATATCCAATCAATAACATTTATTTTGTTAAACCGAGAATTAGTTACAACTTTTTTAATAATAAAAACATAAAGATGATAGTTTAAAAACCAAAAAATATTTTTTTTATAAAAAGATATAATGTTTGATGTGCTTTTAAAAATGTTAACTAATCAAACCTTAATAAAATCAGATCAAATCCAATCAAGCAAAGATGCACATCACCACTTAACATGATGCACATACATACATTTAATCAAGTACAACATCTATATATACAAGCCAAGATACATCAAACACCTGCTCTGAAAGAAAATGAAGGGAAAAAAAAACGCATACTTCAAGGTTCAAATATTGGAACATTATCACAAACCACATATAACCACTTTTACATCACTAACACATACTGCAACACTTTCAACACAGAAACACAACTAATACCACTTTGGACACAAAAGGTCACCTCACAGTTGCCAGGCTGCTGCTCTTTTGAGTTGGGCTGCCACTCTCACCGCCAACTCTGAGATTACAAAGCAAGGCATCACGTCCCGATAGAACAATCTGGAAGAATCCATCGACTTCCTTCCCCAAACCATCAAGTCCCATGGAAAGCCTCTCCACTGCCTTCGCCAAATCAGAAGTTTCATGCCGCCGTGCACCTGCATCCAGAATGACAGGACATAACCTCTCAACACTAACGCGAACGTCGTCAAGTTCCTTTAAAGCAGTTGACCGGCCACCACCCGAATACAGGGCCTTCATTTCCCGGATTAGGAAACTTTGGAGATTAGCATATGCATCTGCCCACAAGAAAGAAGTCTCACTGACCTCCAACTCCTTAAGGTTCTCCACACACCCCGAGAAAGAAACAGCAAATACCCTACAAATGAAAATGGTCACCATCCTTACTCCATACATAGCTTGCATTAAAACTTTCCCCTTCACAGAATTTTTAATCTTAGGCAAGTTCAGACTTTCGGTCAGGCTGTTCAAAATGTCAAAGCAACGTCGTAATCTTGGATTTTGACACCTCACACGTGGGCCCCATTCTTTCAATGAAGAACATGCTTGAGGAAACTGCTTTTCATCACCACTGTCGAGATAATGTATGGCACAGCTAAGAAAAAGATTGGATTGGTTGATCCTGGTGATCTCAGAGCTGAAAGCAGTGCAAATATCCAGTAACCTTACACTGTTGTCCAGGTACACATCAATCCACTTCTCGTCCCAATCAGAAACAGGAAATTCGAGTGCAGTTATCAGTTCTTTAGTGTCAACGTGGATTTCTGAAAGTGAAACTATTGCTTTCTGCATCCACGATAAGCTGATGATGTCATCATTGTTTTCAGGGATGAGGTTCCTTAGCTTCAATGCCAATGACTCCTCGAATGATTTCAAAAGGGAAAGAAGTGTTGGGGAGAGGTGTGAGCTTTTGGGTAAAATCATCCGGAAGGGATTTCCAAATGGGAAAAATGGTCTGCGTGGCTCCTGTGCACGACTCATTTTTAAAAGTCAAAAACTGCATAGAAAGTTGAGGAGCATATGAATAAAAAAGTTGAAAACAAATTAGGGATGCAAATAGGCTGTGTGTTATGCAAAGAATTATGGTAGCCATTCAACTGATAAAATTCTTAACCCAGCCCTTGTGTTTTAGTCAATTAACCCATCATTCAAGCAAACATATAGGTTGTTCAGGATGTTAAGTATGTAAGCACAGACATTACATAATACGGAGTATAAAAATGTTTAGATGAATCCAAAATAAATAAAAACCACATTTTTGCCCATCTTTTTTAAGAATGGGTATCTAATCTGTCCATTTTCTCATTTCTTTCTTTGTGTAGAGATCTAGAAATGAACGAGATGGTAAGACTTCAAACAAACACAGCCACGCACAGTAAAAAAGGCAAATAATCTTTAATTAACTCTAAAAATATCAAGGGTTTGTAAGGATTTAAAATATTTTTTCAATATGATCAAATCAAATTTAAAAATCAATAGGCGGATGGGTAACTAGCTATTCATTTAATAAAAATGGAGGCTTGTAATTCACTATCAACGGACAGGAATCACAGGATGGATGGTGGAAAAAAGAGTTCAGGAAACTCAGATCTGGAAGCATAAACATACGGAGTAGTATTTGAATAATTTGAAAGTTCAATTTAAATCTGGCCATAGATCCTGATAGATCAGTTCGATCCAGATCTCGGCGCCCGAATAGCATGAAGAACACGAATAAATTCTGCGCAAAAGGCGCATATTAGCAAGTTGATTACAAGGACAAAATCATCAAGAAAAACACAATCATCGGGGCCAGAAATGGCTAAAATTTGAGAGAAATGAATGATTTGAACAAAAAAAGATACTTGAGAAATTCAATCATCCGGGCAAGAAATCCATAAATTTCGAGAGAAATGAATAATTCGAACGAAAAAGATACGAAATTGGGGCAAATATTACCTGATGCGGTATGAAATTCAGAAAATAAAGAGATTGAAGATGATAGGGTTGATTGAACAGATAGGGTAAAGACTTCACAAAACAACACGACGAGTCGGGTCTTGTGCTAGGAAGAAGAAGAAGAAGGGTCTAGAAACGTGTTTACTAAAATCACATACACGTTATTCTCGGTCTTCTTTTCCGGGCTGAAAAAAAAACAAACCACTACACTATTTCATTTTTTTATATATTAAGTTTCTATATGAGACTAATTTTTTTTATGTAAAAAAATGAAATAGATAACTACCATCCAATAAATTTCACATGTTTAAATTTTTTTAAATACAACAACAACAACAACAACCCAGTTGGATCCCACTACAGTAGGGTCTGGGGAGAGTGTGTGTACGCAGACCTTACCCCTACTTGGAAGCAGGGAGGCTGTTTCCAAGAGACCCTCGGCTCAACCTGCACAAAAAATGATAGGGTATACAATATAGCATGGATAAAACACCAAGTACAATG